TCTACCTGCCTAGAAAAATGTAGAATTAGATTCTTTTCTGAATAAGGGTTAGAGTCTAAAATTACATGCTTTTTAAGGATGGAGGCAGTATTGCTCAGCCTAATGAATGGCGTGAAGCAAGCTCCAAACAAAGTCAATGCATTACGATATAAAAGTCATCATGTGTGCTGCTTGGTACTCCCTCAGGCCAAGCACAAAGAGGGCCCTAGTTTGATTCATAAATTATGAACATGTGGATCACATTTCACATATAGGCGCCTTGTGAGAAACAGTTCTTCTCGGTGGTCTGTGCGGTTCGAGTTGAGCACAGAGAAGTGTCACCACAGAGAACAGAGTTACATAGATCACAAATGGAGAGGTAGAGAAGGATCGTCTCCGGTCTGCCGGCCTGGTCCTTGCAACCAGATCTATATATTCTCCTACTCTCTCCGGCCTGTATATGATGACCAGCAGCAGAAACAACAGATGGACGAGAGATGTGTGAGGTACGTACGTCATGGATCGCGCCGCGCTAGCTGCCGGTTTTTAGGTAGTAGAATATAATCCGGTCAACTCGTCGGTTGCCTTGTCGCTGCTGATGCACTACGTGCTTAATTATATACGCGTCAATGACCGATCATTACACAACGCCACCATGCATATCCGGGACGATTGGCGTCACCGTGTGACGCACCAGTCACGTGTGTAGTGGTAGCCGTAGTATATATGTATGATCATGATCTTCACGCCGCTCTCGCATTTGACTGCCCGATTCGACCCACCGAGGCACCGACTGCGTGCATGGGAGCAGGCCGGTGGAGTGGAGGAAGCCTTGACGCGTCGCAGGGACCATGGGCCTGATTGGATGTTGACCAAATTAAATTTTGCCACCGCGCGCATCGTCGTCGTCTTCGTCGATGGGTTGCGTGAGATGCAGTGCATGTGCTAATTGCAACTTGCAAGGGATCATCGCACTAGTGCGCTGATGGCGACGCTTCAGCACGAGACAAGGCCACCCTTTCGATGGAGATCGATTGCGGTGGTCCGGCCGGTTGGTCGTCGCTGTACGTGTAGTGTGTGGTGTGGCTAGCTTAAGCTCCTAGCTTCCTCGACAGTTGTCGGCAACACACGGGTGCATGCCCGCCTCCTAGAAATGCAAGTCACATTACATTACGTTACATTACAGATGGGCCTCTCGGAAAAGACGATACCCTCAGAACCATATCAAGGCAGACCAGATTATATTACCAGAAAGCTCTGGCAGCGTCGTGTGTTCATCACAATACTGCCGGCGTGTTAAGGTCAATGCAAATGCTAAATTACTACTCCATCGGTTCCATTTTATCTGGCGCAAGTTAGAATAACACGGTCTCCTAAATTATACTTTGATCATTCATTTGATTTTATATTATATTATTTATGCTTATAAATTTATAATCATTGGATAGTATAATTCATTACAAATCTAACCATATAAAGTTTGTATTATAATAATAGTTAAAAATTATTAGCCTAATTATTGATCAAAGTTTCTAAAGTTTAAATCTTCCTATACGTATGGGCCGGATAAAATGGAACTGAGGCATTACCTTACAACGGTAAGCAGGATATGGACATGTGGTATTGCTTGAAAACAGACGCGCACACAGAGACGGAGAGACAAAAATTAAATATGGTGGAGCCAGAAAGGAGAAGGAATAACATTGTTTCAACCGGCCCGGCCCATCTCATAACTTAAAAGGCTGATATATAGGAGTTCTATAGCAAACCAACATCGATGGGCCCTGCATGTTTGTTGGATTGGGTAAGATTTACGAATGATTTGAGACGAGATAGAAGAGAAGCACATGTGGAATTTGAGGAAAAACTCCATCTAATAAAATCCCTAAAATTTTTGTTAGAGTGCATCGAGAGTCTTTCTTAAACTTACTCTTTAATTCATCATTTGGAGAGCTGTTTAAATAAAAATCGCTCTCTAAAAATGCTTTTTGTCCGCCTCCATAAATGCTTTTATGTGGCAGTGCCTCAAACCAAACAAAATTCTGGAATGACTCCATTCCCCTCAACTTAACAGGAGATGGGACGGTCCCAACCCAAAAAAATAAGATGAAACCAATTCATCTCTTCTCGTCCTCAAACCAAACAGTCTTCTTATTACTGTTTTCAAACCTATTGGTCCCCTCTCAGACAATAACTCTATGTCAGCCCTTGGAAATGGTTAAAGTGCCACAAAATTTCCTTGTTCCCTGTGGTTCAAGCTAAAGGACCCTGGTTCAAAGTTCGGTGCCTTGAAAGGATGAGGTTCATCAAATCCGATCTAGAAAACAACCATATGTGTGAGACTTGGCTGCCATTTGGTAAACAGTTTCATACTGTGGGTATTGCAACTACTTGCTGAGCAATTTGGAAAACACGAAGCAAATTGTGTTTTGAAGACAAACCTGTGAAACCCCTGCCACAATTGTGTGCTATGCTTGCGCGCTCATGAGTTACCGGGCAAGTTTATTCCTGGAGAACGACAAGGAAGCTTTGGTGGCGGGAGTCAATACCATGCTACAGATTGCGGTGAAGCTGCTGGGTAAGAAGACGGCGAAAGATGGACAACACTTGTTGAAGGACGACAATGGGACAGCTAGGAGGACTAAGGCGGACATCATCTCTGATGCCAGTTTCTCCGAAAGGCTTTGCCCAAGATTTTTTTAGTGGATGTGAAGGTTCATCAACGAATTGTAGCGATGGTGTTTGGCCCTTGGTAGTCGACGTTCTGTTACTTTTTTGTCTCGAGGTTATACTCTGTAGCTCGTCTAAATCAGGCGAGTCTTGCTTGTAAGGGTAGCATCTGTAGACTCTCTTGCTGCTCCCATCTTCTTTCTGAAATACTCTCTAATGTTGTATTTCCATTAAAATCAATGGAAAGGGAGAGATCCTCGGTTAAACAAAAAACAGGCTTGCTAGCGCTGATGGGGCGTCCGGACGCTCGCGCTTGCAGACTGTTCCCCACGCCGTTTTTTGTGCCCATGTCTCACCAGTATCAGGAAGAAGGGGAGGGGGCGGCGGATGCCCAGCCGGTGCCGGGAGGAGGAGGAGACACTAAGGCGAGGCAACAAAAAGGCAGGAGGAAGATGCAACACCCGATCTACTTTTGAAACATTAAGATGCAATACTTACAACATACGTCTAAAGGCAGATGAAACACTTGAAACATGCATCTGAAACACTTGCAAAACCATGCGAGGCTCGCGCAGCCCCGAACGTCACCGGCGTCAAGAAGAAGGGGAGGGAGCGGCAGATGCCCAGCCGGTGCCGGGAGGAGGAGGAGACACCAAGGCGAGGCGGCAAAAAGCGAAAAGGGAGATGCAACACTCGATCTTCTTTTAAAACATCCAGATGCAACACTTCCGCCATACGTCTGAAGGCAGATGAAACACCTGCAAAAACACCTAAAAACGCTTAAAAACCATTGTAAAACATACGCAACATTCAGATTAAACACTTGCAACATATGTGTGAAACATATGCAACATCCAAATAAACACACTTGCAACATACGTCTAGAAAACAGGTGAAACATTAGGAACATAAGCTTCCAATATATGTGTACAACCATTGCAACATATGCAACATCCCAATCAACTTTTGCAACATTCGCGTGAAACACTTGCAACATACCTCTGAAAACATCTGAAACACTTGAAATATATGTTTGCAATATGCAACTTCAGTGCAACATCTCCTTGCTGCTTGGGAGAATAGAGGCTTATCGGATCTGTAGTTCACCGGTGTAGAGCTCGCCGGTGGCACAAAGCTTGCCGCTCCAGTGGAAAAGGCCACGGTAGGCTGGCCATAGCGAGCTGCGCGCAGACGACTTCCGTCCCAGCCACGATGAGCTGGGCAGGCGGAGCACGAGTTGTGTGCCGCCCGCCCAGGCTACGGTAAGAGCTGGGTAGCCTCCGTCCCAGCCGAGACGACCGCGGCGAGCACAAGATGAGCGCGGGCGGAGGCCGCCCCGGCCGACCGCCGCGAGTTGCACAGGTGGAGCATTGCGCGACCGAGCTTTGCTGTGATTTTTTTAGAAACTACGATGACGAGCAGATAGGAGCGGGTTATTTGGGCTGGCGTCGTGGCCCACCAACCGAAGCGTCTGGCCGGACAGACACCTGGTTCCAAGAATTACCAAAAAAAATTCGATCTAGGAAACGACCATACGTGTAAACTCAAATTAGGAGTGCATTTGATTTTTTTAAGTGTTTGCATCTCAGTTTTTATGAAAAATACATCTATGGATGAACTCTGGATGTGCTTGGTTTCAAAATTTTGTAAACTTCTTCAAATATTAGTTCCTGAAATTTGCAATTAATGTACCGTTGAGGAACCACAATGTGTTAATAAAAGCAGTCCATAGGACTAAAATATTACCTATCAACTATCCGAGACATTGTGGAAACAGTCGATAGGGTAGTCCATAATAAAAGCTATCTATAAGCTTATGGACTACCCATAAGCAATAAAAAATATTTTTTTTCACTCCTCTCTCTTGTCTCTCCCTTGTTGGCTGGAATGATGTAATAAGTTTTTTTTTTATTTCTAGTGGAACATTGTGAAAAAATGACAGTAGCTATGAACTGATTGTGTGGGTACCATGTATAAGTGGTCTATGTGAATTGTGCTTGAATCCGGTCCCGGATCAAACCGTCTCGGACACTGCACGCTGTCACGCTGTGTCAGGTTTGCTTTTGCCACCTCGGACTCAGCCTCCCGAGTGCGTCTCGCACACCCAAACCCTGCACCGCGCGCACGACTATATATATGTGCACGTCTCTGCAGACCGCCGAAAACCAAATAAGCAATCAACTATCAAGCACACGTCCACGAATCCACGATGGTCCAGATAGTCGACATCGAGCGTGGCCCCGGGGAAGGGGAGCAGGACGAGGATGCCTCGCCGATCGAGGAGGTCCTGATGACCGTGCCGACCGGCGACGACACGACGCTGCCGGTGTGGGCTTGTATCCTGCGTGCTCATGAGCCTCCTCAACCAGTTCTTCTCGTACCGCACCGAGCCCATCATCGTGACGCAGATCACCGTGCAGGTGGCCTCGCTCCCTCTGGGCCACTTCCTCGCGCGCGTGCTGCCGGCCCGCAAGTTCAAGGCCCCCGCGCTCCACGGCCTCGGCGGCGGGGAGTGGAGCCTCAACCTCAACCCGGGCCCCTTCAACGTGAAGGAGCACGTGCTCATCTCCATTTTCGCCAACGCCGGCTGCGCCTTCGGCAATGGCTCCGCCTACGCCGTCATGATCGTCGACATCATCCGCGCCTTCTACCGCCGGTCCATCTCCTTCTTCGCGGCGTGGCTGCTCATCACCACCACGCAGGTGCTCGGGTACGGCTGGGCGGGGCTCATGCGCAAGTACGTGGTGGAGCCCGCGCACATGTGGTGGCCCGGCACGCTCGTACAGGTGTCCCTCTTCCGAGCACTGCACGAGAAAGAGGTCGACGAGCCCGCCGCCGAGGCCGAGGGCGGCGGCGGTGGCTCACGTAGGAATAGGATGTCGCGGGCCAAGTTCTTCCTGGTGGCGCTCGCCTGCAGCTTCCTGTGGTACGCGGTGCCGGGCTACCTGTTCCCGACGCTGACGTCCGTGTCCTGGCTCTGCTGGATCTTCTCCAAGTCGGTGACGGCACAGCAGCTGGGCTCCGGCATGAGGGGCCTTGGCCTCGGCGCCTTCACCCTTGACTGGACGGCCGTGTCGTCGTTCCTCTTCAGTCCCCTGGTGTCGCCCTTCTTCGCCACCGCCAACATCCTGGCCGGCTTCGTGCTCTTCATGTACGTGATCGTGCCGGCGGCCTACTGGGGGCTCGACCTGTACAACGCCCGGCGGTTCCCCATCTTCTCGTCGCACCTGTTCATGTTCGACGGGAAGAGCTACGACATCACGTCCATCGTGAACGAACGCTTCGAGATCGACATGGACGCGTACCAGCGGAGCGGGCGGATCAACATGAGCACGCTCTTCGCGCTGTCGTACGGTCTGAGCTTCGCGGCGATCGCGGCCACCATCACCCACGTCGCGCTGTTCCACGGGAAGGAGATCTACTGCCGCTTCCGCGCGTCGCAGCAGAAGGACGACGAGCCTGACGTCCACACGAGGCTGATGAAGAGGTACGAGGACGCGCCGGGGTGGTGGTTCCACGCGCTGCTCGTGCTGTCCATCGGCGTCTCCCTCGTCCTCTGCACCGTCCTGAAGAAGGAGGTGCAGCTCCCCTGGTGGGGCCTCCTCTTCGCCTGCGCCGTGGCCTTCGTGTTCACGCTGCCCATCAGCATCATCACGGCGACGACGAACCAGGCGCCGGGGCTCAACGTCATATCCGAGTACATCATCGGGCTCATCCTCCCCGGCAAGCCGATCGCCAACGTCGTCTTCAAGGCGTACAGGTACGTGAGCTCGTCGCAGGCCGTGTCGTTCCTCGCGGACTTCAAGCTCGGGCACTACATGAAGATCCCTCCTAGGTCCATGTTCCTGGTGCAGCTCGTCGGGACGGTGGTTGCCGCCACGGTGAACCTCGGGGTGGCGTACTGGCTGCTGGGCTCCGTGCCCAACATCTGCCAGGACACGCTGCTCCCAGCCAACAGCCCCTGGACGTGCCCGAACGACCGCGTCTTCTTCGACGCGTCCGTCATCTGGGGCCTCGTCGGGCCGCGCCGCATCTTCGGGGCGCTGGGCAACTACGGCGCGCTCAACTGGTTCTTCCTCGCCGGCGCCGCGGGCCCCGCCGTCGTGTACGCGCTCCACAGGGCGTTCCCGGCGCAGCGCTGGATACGGATGGTCAACCTGCCTGTGCTCATCGGCGCGACGGCCGGCATGCCTCCGGCGACGGCCGTGAACTACAACGCATGGCTGCTAATCGGCGTCGCCTTCAACTTCTTCGTCTTCCGGTACCGGAAGCGGTGGTGGCAGCGGTACAACTACATCCTCTCGGCGGCGCTGGACGCCGGCGTGGCGTTCATGGGGGTGCTCCTCTACTTCACGCTGTCGATGGAGAACCGAAACATCAGCTGGTGGGGCGCGGACGGGGAGCACTGCCCGCTGGCATCGTGCCCCACGGCGGGAGGGGTGGATTTGGGCCCTGACAGTGTCTGCCCTGTCCTGTGACCAGCGTCTGCCTACTGTCCTGATGCAAGTTACAGTAGTACTGTTACAGAAGTGTAGGCTGTTTTTAGTCATAGCTTTCTGTGCTTTGGTTTTCTCTTTGTAGGGGATGTAGAACCAACAAAGATTCTTCTACCAAAAAATTATTATTGTTGCCCAAATTTTTTAAGTATAAGATGCTGATCACAGATTTGCAGATATAACAATTTTTTTTATATAAGTATAAATGATTGGATTTGTGCATGAGTATGCAGACAAACAAACGATAATGATACAACTAAGACGTCCGGACGGATGGACGCCTCCCACCACCGCTCACCCCCGCACGCACCGCTCGCCCAGTGACCCTATCCGCTTGTCCTGTCCGCGCGCCCCGATGCTCGCTACGCCGTTTTCTCCCTGCGTCGTTGTGCCCACCTGCCCACCCCACTTCGCCTCGCTACCGTCTGTCCCCTGTAGCGCCCCATCCCCTGCGGCCTCCTCCGCGCTGCCTCCCCGCGCTACCTCCTCTGCACCGCATTCTCAACCGGGCACAATCTGCCTCGCCCGCCTCCACTACGCTGCCTCCTCCCCATGGCCGGCCCGCTTGCCGCGACCGCCTCCACCGAGCCGGCGAGTGTGGCAGAATCGCCTAATCTAATGCCTTTCAGGAGCACTTGTCTTTCATTAAACATTAAGTACTTAAGAAAAGGACACTAAACTACGCAGTTTCGTCGAGCAAACCCCAAGGGAGAACTCGAAAATCCACATTTTTTCATCAGGATCATAAATGAGAGAATAAAGTTTACAACATTCTGAAGTCATTTCTTACATCATTTTATTACAGTAGTAGAATATTACCTCAATTGATTATAACAGCGGAATATAACAATGTCATCAGAGTTATAGAGGAAGCAAAGATTCATTTAATGACATGGTGGAGCATTAACATAGTGGGTATTTTTATACAAGAGATGCTAGCAGATGTTATATCTTTTCTTATAAAAACCTTTAGTGAGGGTTATAAATAAACACTACGATCGTAGCGTGAAAGGAATCCTCTCTGAGCCCACCAGGAGGTTTCCACACACAAGAGTCAGCTCTAAGTATCCTCCGATCACCTGCAAACAGGGGGAATAAAACCCTGAGTACTCGATTGTACTTAGCAAGACTTACCCGACAGGAGAAAAATAAAAGACTCCAAGAATATGCAAGGCTATCTGGCTTGTGGGTTATTGCATCTGTAGGAAGCATTACTAAACGTATGTCCTTATAGTCAATTTAATTAGCAGTCATCATTAGTTCATTAGCTAACCATTCTATGTAAGCACCTATGCTACTTTCAAGCAGGTGGTGAGCAATCAGAACCATTTTATCACCTTTCAAGTTTCAGTTCTTACTACGGTGTAAGACCATAGCTAAGTCGGTACCGTCTCACAGAAACGACGATTCACGAATCAATGTATCCCAGCTGGGTACCCCAAAACACATGCCCTGTTTGTACCCCAGGTACAAACAAGACCAACCCATTCCACTCCTATCATGGAGTCTAGGTCCCCATCCAAACTTGGAATCCAAGCCCCCACACTTGAGACCCGGTCTCAATGTGGTGCTTAGACCTCCACCTTTTCCCGCCTGCAATCAGTCAGTCCGGAAAGAAGCCGGAACCCACGACAAGAGCGTAACGAGCCTTCCCGCTCCTATAAGCAAGTATGTGCTCAGAATAATAAGTCTGTGACCTGACTACCATCCACAGCAACACGGACGATCCTCAATCGACATAGGCGGAACAAATACAATCTGAGCCTCGCTCGAATTCCTAACCAAGTCCAAATCCAAAGTACCATTCTGCCCGGTCTTCAATTATCATTCATAAATATTCCATGTGATGGTAATATAATAACAACAATAATATCTTTCCTATCTCTCGCGAGTGACAGGTAATTACTCAATTTCTACCGAATCCTATAGCATAGCAATCTACATGATCCTGACATACTAGTAGGACTCATAGGATAAGTATATATATATGCAAATGGTTTCATTCAACTCCTTAAAACTTAATGCACAAGCATAAAATAAAGTGCAGAATAATAGGGATTATGTACCGGGGCTTGCCTGGGTAAGATATAACCAAAAGTTAGCATTCCATCATGGTGACACGATCATCAAGGCACCATCTTTTCTGCTACTTCAGTCGACTCCATGATCCATCGTTGTTCCTATTATGATATACGTGGATGCAACGCAGAGACGTAAATAATCAACGATAACGGCAACTCTAAAATACGTTTACACTCCGCAAGCTAACGAGCTAGCTCTAACGACTAGCGTACTAGGCTACATATCCACACCGTCAGGTAAGGCTTCATTTTTGGAAAAATATTTTAGTTCTAAAATCCCAAGGTGATTCGACATTATATTGATTAAATATATATTTTTGAACTAGGGCTCATTTATCTACCTTAGCAAACTAATTATTATGGAGCTATAAAAATTACAGTGAGCACCTAATAATGTTAGGAATTTACTGTGAAAGTTTCAGAGCCAACACTATCACCAATTTATCACAAAAATTCCTACAACTTTGTATTTTACAATATTATGCATTTTAAATTAATTAGATAACCCCTAAAAATATTATAAAACTATATGAACAAAATATACTAACAGATAGATCATGATTTTAGGAACCTAACAAAGTTGGTTTCATAATTTTCGGTTAACTACACAATTTTATATTGAATTTACAAGTTTACCTTATAAGCTAAATTAGAAAATGCTTAGAAAAGGAAAAGGGCCGGTGGCAACCATTTTGGCCCGACAGCCCAACGACCCAGGCGCGAGGTGCGGCGGTGCGTGCCCGGCAAGCCCAAAGCGGGAAGTCCGTGCGCGCGTGGCTCTTTTGCAAAAGTGACCCTGATTTTTTTTCTAAAACTACGTCGCCGTTTGTTTACTATTTCCCTCTCTCTCTGACTAATTCATTTCACCCCTGGCTTCTTCCTAATTTCCTCACACACGTCCCTGAAGCAGGATGTGCAGCGAGCACGGGCACCGAGCGGTCACGCCGGCCACCTAGGGTTCGCGTGGACTTACCTAGAGGGTCGATCGCAATCCCCGACCTAAGCGGCTATGCTGGGTGGCGGTGGAGAGCTAGGAGGTGGTCTAGCGCATGCTGCGGTGGCGGACAGTGGTGTACGGCGGCAGCGTAGCCGTTCCGACGAACCTACGCACTCACGGAAGGGTAGAGGTGGCGGAGCAGCATCAGTAGCTCACCGTGGTGCACGCCCCACTGACGGTTAAAGCAGGGTAGCGCTGTGGCGGTCTAGCCATGTGCGAGCCACCGGGGCCGCGGTGCTCCGGGATGGACACCCATGCGTCACCACATCTCCGGCAAGCGCCCTGGCCAAATGGTGCGAGCACCAGATAGAGGAGGTCAAAGCGAGCTCGTGGATACAAACAATTAAACCCATTCGAACCTTACCCCAATTTCACTGGCACGGCGACACACCTGGTCGATGGCGAGAAAAACGCCAAATTGGCGGCCAGTAGTGCTCGGTTACGCCAAAGTGAGGGTCAGACTGCTAGCGAGCCTCTAATCCTAGCTGCTGGAGCACTGAATCGAGGTGGGGTATCACGAACCACGTGTATAAGCTTGTGAAGCGATGTGGCTTCGTTGGCGACAAGGCGGGTGGGGCAGCGGCTTCAAGGCTCAGACAACCTCGACCAGGGCTGCGTTAAATGAGCGGGAGCATCCACACGGTGAGGCTCAGAGGGAGCATGCCGTGGGGTGCCGAGATGGGACCACTTGGTCTTGGCAGGGCGTGGACAGTAGCAGTGGAACAGCAGTCGCGTGGGAAAAGCGTTAACACCACGACAAAGGGCAGCATCGCGAAGGAACAACGGATGCAGACAGTGACTCGACGGTAGGTGGATCGAGTGGCGAGACGAGCGCCACGACGGCCAGACGACGACTGCCGCGGCATCGGCTTGGGCCCACGCACGGCCTGGCCGGCAGCGCGCATGCGGCGGCCACACCGCAGCAGCCCAGCGGCGCTGCCCGGGCCCGCGGAGGCAGCCGAGGCCAATCTAAGCCCGACGCGTGGCCGGTAGCCCGCAAGGCCGGCCACGGGCATGACCATGGCCAAGAACGGCTAGGTAGCGGCAGCGCGCGGCGTGGTGACTGCAGACACGAGTTGTGCAACGACGAGCGATGACGTGCATGAATTTTGAAGCATAGAAAAAGTTACTAACGATCATAGTTGAAATTCAACTAACTCCCTTATCGTAAAGTCCACATTGCCAACGACCTAGCAACGCCATCACCATGACCAGAGAGCAACCGGGTAAGGAGATAGATGGATGCCAATATGAGCTCATCGCGCTGAACGCCAGTTCACGAATAGAGCGCCCACAACATGATTTCACACGTTTTAACGACGTTTGAGAAATTTTATAGGAGGGCAACGCGACGTACAAGACAACTTCGACCTATACCAAGCTCATGCACTCACTTTGATGCAATCAACAATACCAAAAATATACAGCTAGTGTTTAAACAATTTAGTTAGGATTTGAATGCCAAAATGGCATTGTCTACTTCCATTCAGTCTTAGAAAGTCAAAAGTTCAGCTTGAACTAAACATCCATTAACACTTTTGCCATAATTTTTAAAATGTCTAAACCTTATTAACGTCAACCAATAAGTATTTCACAATAGTCCATACTTCATACTAACCCATAGGAGCAAACATTTAAGCACTCTTTAGTTATTTTGCTCAATATAATTCGTCATAAATGGTACTTTAAACATTACTTCAAGTGTTTGTCGACTTAACGAAAAAGGCTTATCTTAATTTCATATTTGAGCTCCCCATAACACTAGTTAACCACATTTGTTTTCACAAATTAAAGTTGCATCTTTAACTACACCACTTGCTCGTCATCTTTACTTAAGTATTACACACAAGTTATATTTTATTTTTGTTTATATACATTGTTTTTCGTGCCAAACAATTAAAATG